GTATGTGTGTGTGTGTGTGTGTGTATATATATATATATATATACGTACATGTACATTTTCATTTATCGTGTGCAGTACAAACTGTCTTGCCCTATACTCTCTCTGTCTTTTCAATTGAGGAATATCATTATAAAGCAAAACATGCAGTATCTCACATTGACTGGTGTCTATAAAGCCTAATCACATGGTATTTCATTTTATCTTACAAGACTCATAACATGGGATATTAAAATTTAAAATATCCATGTTCATGTTCCAAATAAACAAAAAAGTATAAAAGATTCCCACTTTTTCCAAGTTAAAACCTAAAGTATACATTAAATTCTTTACTCTTCAACAAATATAAAAGCTATTTTTATAATACCCGGTTTTCCTTTTTTCACTTATGAAACAGCTACTTTACCAATGTTTCATTATTTTTTATAAGCAATCCAGTGATGGTTATATCTAAAATTATTATTAGTGTCACTTCATTTTATATTCAAGCATCTTAGGATTTCATGATTAACATTTGTAATGGGTTTATGTATTTATGACACACATTCAGTTTAAACGTAGAATGATGACAGTAAATTTTATGTATTTGGCTAGATTTTATGCAAAGTGACTGAATGAAGTATTGAGTTATGGCTTGTGTTAAATTAAACATTTCTATTCACATTATTTATTACTGTTTGTGGATAGTTTTTTTACCATATTTTATGGTAAGATAAATTTAAGTACATATTAATTAAAGTAGTAAAGAGCCATGGTCAAATGGTCAATTACAAGTTTTAAGTATTCCGAATTTGTTCTCTGGTATATGTTGCTGCCAACCTTTAGGAATATGTTTGAGTGAAACTTGTAAAAAAATTAAAATTTTAGCATGCAGTGAAATGCTGTAAGCACCAAAAGCAGTTATCTTCTAGGGGAACTTGGGGAATGGTCCCCCAGCAATTTTTTTAAAATCAATAAAGCAAAATGGTACAATCTGTTGCATTTCCTGGATAATGTGATGCAGAATCTGACTTGGATCCACTTTGTCAACCAGCTGTAAATGTGTTATGAAAAGTTCATTTGATCCAAACATGACATTTTTTACTACTTTGTGAGAGCCTGAGAATAGACCCAGATGTATGAGTTTCACACTGATTGGGTGAGAGTTGGTAGGACTAGATATAAGTATGCATTTTAATAGCTGTAGAACTAAAAAGGTGGTAGTAAGTGATAAGTTTACATAGATAACTATCAATGAACAAAATATCTGGAACTTTAACTGCTATTGAGCAATTATGTACAATTGAAATTTTCTTCCTAAATTTGTTGGAATTTAGGTAATTGGTTAATGTTAATCTAATGAGACAGTTTCCATATATAAGCTGTTTAGTAGATTCTGGTAAACTATTTTTTGTTTTGCATTAATTGGTATATTATTAAAATATTTAAGTTGTTTCTTATCATTAAAAGAGAGAAGAATATCTAAAAATCCCATGTTTTATTAACTTTTATAATTACTTTTATATAAATACCATCACATCTGTTTTATTACCTCTATAACTAGGGGAAATAAAGAGTATGGTGTACAGGTTCAGTTACGATTCTGTCTTTTGGAGACATCATGTGCACAAGATGATAACTTTCCACCTAGCATTTGCGTGAAAGTTAACTCAAAAGTCTGTCCACTTCCAGTAAGTTTTTTTTTTCTTTTTGTTGTTATGAGGTAGTTGGTGTTTTATTACAGAATATGCTAATAAATAATAAATTAAAGCGCACAAAAAAAAGCACTGTAATAGAAGGATGCTGATATGTTTTAAACTTAGTAGAACAACTACTGTGACATTCTTTATGTGATTTCCAAATGAAATTAGAGTACTTTAATATTTTTACATTTTAAAAGCTTAGATACTTTTACTTTGCTATTATGTTTTCTCTTTTGGTTAATTAGGTAATAAGTAAACCAAGTATTGATATACATGTTGTGAGATCCCCAACATTTCATGTGTTTTTAAATATTTCTAAAGTTGATCATAAAGCATGGCATATTGAAGTTACTTGCAATTATTAATTTTTCTTTTGAATGAAGTATTGTTACATTAGCAAAGGTAAAAGTTTTTTACATTTTCAAGCGTCCAAGAGATGGTTATATGTAGCATTATTATTAGTCTCACTCTGTAAAAACATTTGTTCTTGGGTGTTATGACAAAGCCTTTAGTTGGACTTACTTGAACTATGCTTATGCATAGTGATTCATGAGGAATTATGCTGAACGTAATTCAGAATGTTATTAATTTCTGTTGTCTTCTTAGAATCCTATTCCCACAAACAAACCAGGAGTGGAACCTAAGCGACCTAGTCGGCCAGTCAACATCACAGGCCTTTGCAGACTGTCACCCACCTGCCCTAACCACATCAATATATCATGGGCATCTGAATATGGGAGAGTAAGTACATACTATATTAACTATTTTTCAGTTAATAATGCAGTATTGTATGCTTACCATATGAAGTAAGTACTGATACGAATTATAGGCAAACTTTTAAAGTAACACACTGTATTTCTAGGAAGCAGCGTGTTCATTTTGAATTACATATTAGTATTCTACGTGGTTGCTCATTGAGAAGTTTGAGGGCTTATAACCCCAATCCATGTGGGGAGCACAGATTGCCCATCGTATAGATACTAGTATAGCCTATCATACTTTTATCTTTGGTATACTTACATGTAGGTAACAAGTGTTAAGTACTTATACAGTATTTTAACTTGTCTGTATTACATATTAACCCTTTCGAGACAGGTCATGGGTGAAAGGCCATGTCATCTCATTT